AAAAAAAAACGCAATTTGTAACCGCAACTATACATACTGTACTATGTAATAAATGAAAAAAAAAAGAGATAAAAATAACAAAAATCTCCCATTCGTTTTCTTCACAATCTTCCTTTTCTAATTTTGTTTTTCTTCGTTTGTTTCTTCCAATTTTTCGTTGTTTATTTGATTTTTGAAAGATAATAATAAAGAACTAAATGATGAAAGTGCGTTTTAATAACTAAAAACAATTATTAATTACGCGGAAATTAATTAATTAATTAATAATACAAATGCATTGTGATGAGTCGTAACTGCATTTTTTTGTTTATCAAGATATCCGTGACACATAAACGCGGCCATCTTGTCCTACGCAATAATCTGCAACATTTCCATAGAAACCAAAACATTTTGTTTATTTGAAAAGAGAAAATTTCACTTAAACGTCATTCGTGTGTTTGATAAGTTTTATTGATAAGTGAAACTGTGAGTGCAAAACTGTGATTCAAGTTCGCGGTGGTTATGGAAGAAGCAACAGGGTTCGCGAGAAGGATGATCCAGTTTTTCATTCATGGTTCGATAATGAATTGATGATGATGGGTCCGGGGATTCAAACCGGAATGCGCGCGCAACGTTGCAATTCCTGCAGGACCGTAACGAATATTGTTTTCTCTCCATGACAACCGAAGCAGGATGTGTGCAGGATGTTAACGAAATTGAAGGGGTGGAGGATTACGGCTGGAGGCGGTCCTGCGCGAATCGATGTTTCGCAGGATTCCTGGCCCGAGGCGTCGGTGTGTGTGTTTTTTTTTCGGTGTGTCTGGCGCGCGCGTTTCCGAACTTCGACGTCGACGAAGATTGCGCGGAGCAGGAGCAGGATCAGAACGGTGAAGGAGTGGAAAGGAGGAGAGAGGCTGCGTCGCGACGTCGAGGGATGTTGGCAGCACTCCGTTCGCGATCACCGAACAACAAGTAGAGAGAACACCTGATTGACTGACTTGCCTTTTCTTCAGCGTCGAGAAACCGCGATGGCTAATAAGAACATGGCACGTGAGAACAGCTACATCTTGGAGGACAGGTCCAGGTTCGAAGACAGAGTGAGTCCCGAGAATCGCTATTTTCATCATCATCATCATAAGTAGGCCATTCCCAAAAAATAAAACAAAACAAAATTAGTAAATAGACAATAAAAAAAACAAAAATTTCGTTGTCAGGGTAATGGACATAATTATCGTTGTAGCATCTAATTTGATTACTGAGATCATCTCGTCTTTCTCCCTTTGGTTTTAATCCATTTCGCCCGTGTGCGAATCTCCCAGCGGGGCGAACTTTGCGCGGATCCGAGTGATTGCGCTTTCAACAATTCATACAAACATCAAGGAAAACCATGGAAGGTGAACATCAAACGAGAGACGTCAATGTCTTAATCAAATCCTTTTGTTTTTCTGTACTTCACTTTCATTTAGTCTTTAGTTTTGAAATCAATCTTTTAAACAGAAATGATTAGTTTTTGAGTAAAAAATTCAATATTTGTTTTATTCGCATTTTTCATATTTAATTTAGTGTTCATTGGAAAAGTAATTAATAATCAAAATTTGACAATTTTATCCAATTTCCAACTTTTTTTAACACATTGACGACGGCATGACCCACCGGTGGGTCATTAATTATAAATAATAGTTTTGTTGCTATGTACGCCACTGATTTTGACTGAGAATAACCTCAAATATCTTAAGTCAATTACAAACTTCAAACGCCAATGCATTTCTTATACATATTTTAATAATTCTTGAAGCAATTTAGAACAATACGTGATATTGTGACATAATTTAGGCGTACTTTACAAATTAACTTGCGAAACATATTTGAAATTTTCAATGATCAATTATTATTATTGCTTATTGTAAAACCTATAGCACTTTTTCCTAGCAAGTATAGAATTGAAATATTTCAATATTTTTCCCACAATTGTTATAAATTGCTTCAATATCATTAAAAAATGTATAAGAAAAATTTAAACGTTTAAAGTTATAATTGACGTAAGATATTTGACGTTTCTCTCAGTCCATAGGCGTCCACGAAAAAATTCTGGGGTACACTGAGTTTGTTATAGAAGTTTATTTCTTTACAATTGGCAACACTTCAAACTGTCAATTCACAAATGACAGATGAATCAACAGATATCTAAACATAACCTAACAAATTTATTAAATTTTCAAATAAAATGAACATTTTTGTATATTCTTTCTAAAATTCGAGTAATCGTGAATTGTTCTTCATGCGTATTTAAAACTGAATACGTTTCAGAGGTATCTTCTATTCGTTTGCATAACAATAAAATTGTTCCGCTCGTAAATCATTGTGTAATGTCGCACGGCCATTTGTTTTTCCTTGTTTTTTTTTTGTTTTTCACCCTTCTTCGTGTAGCCGCGATAAAGTTCACAAATTAATTCCACGAATCTCCCGTTTCCAATTAAACAGTCCAATACGAACATGCACGCTACACATTCATTTCCCCAACAATAACAACAACATATACACCCCATTTTCTCGCTCTCTCTTTGTATATTTCAATTGTTTTAATGAATAATCAAGATATCGTTGTGACATTTAAATTGAAACTCACTCCTTCTCTCACTCTTCGTTTGTGTGTGTGTTTCATGTGGGTTTCCGACAATGCAAAAGGGCAGCAGCATCGATTCCAACGAAAACGCCTTTGACGACATGAAGCAGTTAATTAACGTGAGTAATTAAGTTGAATTTTGTAATTGTTGGAAATGTTCAACAGCGAAAGAGTCGAGAAAGGAAACAACAAAAATAAAAGACAAAGTGTCTCCTCTTTGATGTCGAATGTCGCTTTGTTTTAAACAAAAGAAGCAAAACTTAAATGTTACTGTTTGTCTTGTACAGTTTTCATTTATTTTTTAATAACGCAATTGACTGTAAAAGATAAATCGGTCATTATGTAATCATTTATTTTTATTCAGTTGTTCTTAGCAACAAACGTTTGTGTTTTGTTATTTGAATCACTTTTTTGCGTGCCGACTCGCAATGCACCTCAAAAGTGACGTTTCTTTTATGACGTTTTGTTTATTTGACAGTACGTCAATTGTGTTTGATACTATTCTACAATCAGTATGCAATCTGCATACAACAATTATTATGTAATGATTGCATTTTTCTATTGTAATTTGATTTTTGAGTTTTTGTTTTACATTTCCATCGCTATGGCATTTGTTTCTATTGTTGTTTTGTTTCTTAGAATGATGACGAAGACAAGACATCGAGCCTTCCCTGGGCCAGCTTCAATTTCATCAATTCGATCATAGGAAGCGGCGTCATAGGTATGATTATTTTTTTTGTTGTTGTTGAAATTTCCGCAATTTCCACCGTTATTGCGAACGTGCGAAGCGACGCGCGAAACGATTATTAATTTTCCTCGGTGAAATATACGGATGATGGGAGGGAAATGATGGAAAATCGAGTGCTAATTGGAAATGCATTTGCGAGGCGGCGGCGACGGCGGCTGCACGTGACGGGCGTACGTTTTTCTTTTGTTCGGCTATAAACATCTTTCGTCACGTGACCAAAAACAATTGGTGGATGCGCCCGGTACAAACGATTTTTTCGTTTTTGTTTTTCTATCATC